GTGCAGTACCAGCTGCGCCACGGCGGACCCAGCCATGACCGCCTGACGAAGACCCGAAGCGTGAAGGAGGTGCGGCGGAGGGGTCGCTGGGCGAGCGCCAAGTCTGTCAAAAGATACGAGGCCAGCGCGCGGGTGCAACGGGAGATGCAGAGGCTTCCAGCCGCCGTGCGCGCCTACGTCGAGCGGGCGGCTACTGCTTTGCCAGCGTCGGTTGAGTCTTGGGCTTCGAGGTCATTTACATCGACACCTGGGTCGAGGCGCTCTCGCAGACAGCGATAGGAGGTCTGTCGCCCCTTTTGCGGGCTTGGCGCCACAGCAGAATCGCCGCCGACCTGTGGCCAGCAACGCTGTCCAGTACACTACTGTTTGTGGGTATGGGACTCTGTGAGCTGGACGAATCCAGCTACCGGCCGCCGCGAAGCACGGCGGGCCGGGCCTCGGCATTCTCATCGCAGGCGAATCGGCTTTTCTTGCATCATCACAGAGCTCTGGCGGAAAAAGGGAAGGAAGCATTTCTTGTGCGTGCACACTTATGCTGACGTGAAAAGACGCCACGCGGTACTGCAAAGAACGCCACCTGCAGGATGATCCAAGGGCCCTCTGAGCTGTGAGTATGACATGTGTTTACAGAGCGGTTTTCTTAGGAAAAAGCTCCGGGGGGGAAATTCTGTACAAAACAATCGTTTTGTACAGAATTTCCCCCCCGCCTGTTTTTCCAGCGCTGTTTGCGCGTCCTCTCGCACCACTCTAATGAACGCAATGGCATTTCAATGTAACAGCTTAGAAGTAGCTTGCATCACTTGTTTCTGCAGTCTGTACGCTTTCCTCCTCCGTACTCGTTAGGGCTCGAACTTTTCTGGGCCCACCCGCGGTCCACCCTGCTTGCTGCCTCCAGCGCTCCAACCAGCACTGTCGTCAAATATTCTGGGACTCTGTGAGCTGGACGAATCCAGCTACCGGCCGCCGCGAAGCACGGCGGGCCGGGCCTCGGCATTCTCATCGCAGGCGAATCGGCTTTTCTTGCATCATCACAGAGCTCTGGCGGAAAAAGGGAAGGAAGCATGATATTTCCCCAGATTTCATGGCTCCTCTCCTTATTTCATTAATTACGTCCCTGGCCTCCCCGCTGGGCCGCGCACATGCGGCCGGTCATGATTTGCACCCCCCCCCTCTTGGACACCCCCCTCTTGGCCGCTCCCGAGAAACACGCACGGGAAACGGACGTCCGAGCGACGGCAGGCGTCCGGATCGGCGCTCTGGCCCAGCGGTGCCGAGGGGCGGCGCCGCCCCGGCGCGGGCCACGCTTCCGGATCCGGGGCGCCTCCCCGCCGCGGCCGCCCCCCCGCGCGTGCTCCCCTCCCCCGCCCGCCCCCGGTCCTCCTGCTCCTCCCGCTCGTCCTGCTCCCGCTGCCGCCGCGCCTCCTCGTCCTCCTCCTCCTCCTCCTCCTCCTCCTCCTCCTCCTCCTCCTCCTCCTCCTCCTCCTCCTCCTCCTCCTCCTCCTCCTCCTCCTCCTCCTCCTCCTCCTCCCCCTCCCCCTCCTCCTCCTCCTGCTGCTGCTGCTGCCCCTCCGTCACTCATCCTTTATTCTCGGGCGCACGCTAACGTGGATGACGGATCCGTGGATCTGGCGCGTGGCCGTCAGGTCCACAGATCGGGCGCCCCGCGTGGCCGTCGGGTCCACTCGTCCCTCCTGCCGCCACCTCCGCCTCCCGTGCGCTCGGCTCCCCTTCCCTGGCGGCGCAGGGCACGATGGTGCCTGTTGGGGGGCTCCATGTCCGCCACGACACCCGTCGGCGCATGGAAACAGGTAGTCGGCACGGGCAGGGATGGGCGGGAGGGGTAGGAGGCCGGACACGGCATGAGCGCACGTAGTGTGTCCCCTTTCCCTCCTCCCCGCCCTCTCCTCCGCATTGTGCTCCTCCTGTTTCCTTCTCCTCTTCTTCCGCCTCCTCCTGCGTAGATGTGTTGCCCCCAAGAGAGGGCAGCACACCGCCGTCCCCATTACACATTGATGTGTTGTTGGATGTGTTGCTTTTCTTCCTCCTTCGCCTCCTCATCCTTCTCCTCGCCCTCTCTTCCCTATATATATATATATATAATTCTAGACGCTTCGCGTAACCCCACCAATCCAGTCAGCCTGCTTGAC